CAGAGAGGAAGGGAGAGGGAGAAACATCAATGATGAGAGAGAATCATTGATTGGTTGCCCCCAAGGATCAAGCCTGCAACCCAGGCATGTGCCCTGAGCGGAATCGAACCCTGACCTCTTTGTTCATAGGTCAATGCTCAGCCATGCCAGGTCAGGCAACAATTACTTTAAATGCAAATGGTTAAAAGCTCCAATCAAGCCCAGCTATCAATAATTACTTTAAATGCCAATAGATTAAAAGCTCCAATCAAGCCCAGCCAACATGGCTCAGTGGTTGAGCATCGACCTATGAACAAGGAGGTCAGGGTTTGATTCCCAGTCAGGGCACATGCCTGGGTTTCAGGCTCAATCCCCAATCCCTGGTGGGAGCTGTGCAGGAGGCAGCCGATGAATGATTCTCTCTCATCATTAATGTTTTTATCTCTCTCTCTCCCTCTTCCTTCCTCTCTGAAATCAGTAAAAACATATTTTAAAATAAAAGCTCATATGTAGATGAATGGATAACAAAACATGACCCTTATACACGTCAGATAGAAAGACACACAGAGACTTAAAGAGATGGAAAAAATATTTCATGAAAATGAAAACACAGCAAAACAAAAGCCGGGGTAGCAATAGTTATACAGAAATATTTCATCACTTAGAATATTTCGTGCCATTCCCTCTGGCCTGCAATAGTTATACCAGACTTCTTGTTATGAAGTGTATAACAAGAGACAAAAAAGGACCCAGCAATTTCACTTCTGGACTTCTGTGTGTTTATCTGAAGATACCCAAAACACTAAATAAAAAAGACATATACATCCATATGTTTAGTGCAGTATTATTTACAATAGCCAAGATATAGAAACAAACTAAGTGTCCATCAACAGATGAATGAATACAGAAGTGGTGCATATATACAATGGAATATGACTCAGCCATAAGAGAGAATAAAATCTTGCCACTGCAACAACATGGATGGTCCTAAAGGGTATTGTACTGAGTAAAATAAGTCAGATAGAGAAAGACAAATGCCACTTGATTTCACTTATATGTGGAATCTAAAAAACAAAACAAACAAACACGCAAACCAGAAACGGACTCATAGATACAGAGAACATTTGGCCAGTGACCCAGACAGGAAGAGTTCTGGGGGAGAGGATGGGTGAAAAAGGTGAAGGGATTAAGAAGCACAAATTGGCCTTGGCCAGTGTGGTTCAGTTGGTTGAGCATCGTCCTGTGCACCAAAAGGTCGCAGGTTCGATTCCAAGTCAGGGCACATACCCAGGTTGCAGGTTCAATCCCTGGTGGGGGTACATACTGGAGGCTACTGATCAATGTTTCTCTCTCACACTGAGGTTTCTCTCTCTCTCCCTTTCTCTCTCTCTAAAAATCAATAAAAGCATTTAAAAATTTTTTTTAAAGAAGTACAAATTGGTCATTACAGAATAGTCATAGTATAGCAGAAGGAATATAGTAAAGTACAGCATAGGGAATGTAGTCAGTAATATTGTAATAACTATGTATGTTGTCAGATGAGTACTAGATCAGTTTGTACGTCACATAAATGTCTAATGGGTTGTATGACTGAAACTAAATAATAGTGCATTGTCAACTGTAATTTAAAAATAAGAAATATTTTTTAACTGTTTAAGTCTAATCAGATAAATATACCTTGCTTTAGGGAACAATATTTTTAAAAAGTTATTTCACTTTTGTCTGTTTAACTTCCCCTAGCTCCGAAATAGGATGTCGATGAGTTGTTGAAAAATAGGAGGATAAGAAAGTTAAGAGAGAACAGAAAGGACCCAAATGTGAGGAAATTGGGAAGGGTGCTCATGGGCAGAGGAAAACCAGTGCCCAGGGTGTAATTCACAACTCTGTTTCTCAATGTGCATGTGCTTCTTTGACCTGGGGCAGGAAGGACAGATGGCAAAGGAGGACCCTCCCGGTGTGAAAAGTTGGGTTACGATGGGAGGATCAAAGAGGCCTCTTCTCAAAACCCTGAAGTTGTGGTGAGTCACTTTCTTCACAGCCCTTTGCAACTCTAACCTGCCTTCCAAATAAGCATATGTATATGAGGGAGTGTGTGTGCTGAGGTAGGTGTGGGAACAGCGCAGTCAATGAAGACGCGGTGTGTGAGTGAACCAGTTATGGTGCGTGTTTGTACTTGAAAGCCATAAGGTTCTAGGCGAAATCTATGGGTGGCACTGTTGTACAGTGCTGGTAGGTGTGTGGCTGCGGGGGTGTGATTAACAGTTTATAGGCCGTGCACAAGTGTGCGCGACATCTGACTGTGTACAGATTAAAATGGAAATGTGTGCTGGCGTGTGATACAGGTGCAGAACAGTCCAGGAAGCCTTGGAGTCCGTCTGACTTGGTCTTGCATCCTGGTTCATCCAGATGTGTAACCTCGGACCCATCACTGACCCTAAATTTTCTTACCTCTGAAACAAGGGTAATAATAAGGACCTTTTAAGAGTGCCATGAGTATTCGAAAGGAAACCCTGCATGCAAAGCGTTTGGTGCCACAGGCCTCACGTAGTAGGTCTCAAAAATAGGCAGCTGTTACCATGCACTGTGGAGGTGCCTCTTGGGGGTACAGAGGCAAGAGGGAGCAGCATGCGACCCAGGACTGTGTGTGTGTGTGATCTGGTGAGGACTGTGTACGAGTCGTGTGCATTCGCGTGTGCGCGCCCTAAGCCGTTCCTTTTCCTTCTCCACTGAGCCCCCTATTCAGACCGGGGCAGCGGGTGAGAGGAGATGGTACAAGTTTCCGCAGACACCTTGGCTTTCTGGTTCCTGTGTCTAAGTGAGTAAGAGGTTGAGGGGCCCCGAGGAGCTGCAGGAAGCCAACCGCCTGCACAAGCTTCCTTTTTTCCCCTCCACCCAGCAACGGCTGAGCACTGCAACCCACCTCCACGCCCCACCTCCACCCGCACCTACTTTCCTTTCAACAAGTGAGCGAGCCGGGGCGGACAGCACACCCCCAGGAGGAAGGATTCCTCCCCTTCCTTTCCCCCAGTCCCCCTTAAGACGGACCAGGAAGCAGCGCGGCTCCCGGCCGGGCCACCTTAACAGCA